TGCATGTTGCTGTCCTGACAATTTTTCAATTCTACTATATAATCTTCTTAAAGAATTTTTATCTATGTGCTTTTTAATTTCAATAACTTCTGCTTCTATGATTATTATTTCCTTTCTAATATTCTTTGTTTTATTTTGCAGCCCTTTCTGTAACTTGACAAGTTAGAAACTTGTTGTATTAAATTTCAGTTCTTCCTTTCTGGAATACAATGTAATAAGCAATACAACTGTCCCTGATGGTACTGCTTACTGAATTCTTAAAGTTTTTATATATACTATTTATATTTTTCTTTGGTTCTGGATATTTTCTAATATTCATTAATATTTCTTTTTTGACCAACAATTTATTTAAAAGTATGTTTCTTAGTTTCTAAATTTTTCAAATTGTCTTCTAACTAGCTTAGATAAATAGATGCTAGTTATATCTAGATAACTGGTTTGGATAACTAGAGACATCATTGTATTATGATTAGTGTTCATGGTCTGTTTGATATCAGTTTTTTCGGTATTTGTTAAAACCTGCTTCATGTCATACCATCTGGTCACTTGCCATAAGAATTTTAGGTGTGGATTATGAAGAATATACATTCTTTACCTGTTGGTCTGTGTTTGACCATTAGATCAGCTTGTTCATTTTGTTGTTTATATCTTCTGTTTCCTTGGCGACTCTTCTCCCTCTTTGATCTGTCTATCACTTACTGAGGGAGGTGTATTAAAATCTCCCAATATGATGATGGACATTTCTTGCTTTCTGCTGTTCTGTCCATTTTTGTGTTAATGATTTTGAGACTGAGTTATTAAATATGTACCAACTTAGGATTATTATTATCATATATTTCTGATTAATTAAAATATAGTAATTTTGTTGTAACTCTAATAATAGTTTTACTTTAAAGTCTATCTATAGGCTATAATATGCCCAGTTTCTTTTCATTAATATTTTGTCTTGTATGGCTTTCTTATTCCTTTACTTTCATCATTGATGAAACTTCATATTTTATTTTTTTAAGTTTATTTTTGAGAGAGGGAGAGAGTGAGCATGAATGGGGGAGAGGCAGAAAAAGAGGAGAGAGAAAATCCTAAGCATGCTCCACACTGTGAGTACAGAGCCTTATGTGGGGCCTGATCTCATGAACTGTAAGATCATGACATGAGCTGAAATCAAGAGTTGGATGCTTAACCGACTGATCCATCCAGGTGCCCCGAATCTTTGTATTTTAGATGGGTCTTTTGTGAACAACATGTTGGGTTTCATTTGATTTTTCAGTCGGATAGTCTTATTCTTTTAATTGGAAATTTTGTCCATTTATGTTTATTATCAGGTGCTGATATAGTTTATTTCTCTAAGCGTATATTTCTTTTTCTCATCTTTCTTTCCTTCTTTTAGATTAATTGTAATTTGTAGTTTTTGTTTGTCTAAATTGTCTTTATTTTTCTCCTGATCTCTGAACATCTCCTTACTGTGTATATAGTCCTGTTTGGTCATCTTCTGACAGCTCATTGAAGCATTGGTTTCTCTTGTTGAAAAGGTGGTAGTTAGTCTAATCAACATTCCTTTGAAAGTAGTCTTATGTAAGATCTTCTCTTTGTTGTTGGTGTTGTATAGTTTTGCTGTCTATTTGCACAGGTATTTTTAGTTACCCTGCTTGAGATACCATGAGATTTCTAATCTGTTGTATAAAATCTTTCATAAATTCTGGGAAATTCTCAGCCAGTGTTTTGTTTTGTTTTGTTTTTTTAAATATTGCCTCTCATCTTCTTTCTCTTCTCCTTAGAAATTCAGGTTAGATAATTACCTACGAGCTTTTACCACTCTGTCCAGCGTGGGGCTCAAACTCACAACCCCAAGATCAAGAGTTGCACACTCTACCAACTAAGCGAGCCAGTCACCTGTCCTGTGTGTTTTCATCTCTGTCTCTCTATTCTATCTAGACAGTTTTGTATTTACAGTAATATTTTTCTTCTCCAGAAGCTCATTTAGTTCTTTTTCAATTCTGTGTGTTCTTTCTTAATATTTTCATTTTCTTTTCTTATTTTCTTGTTTCTTTAAACATATTAAACATACTCATATTTCCTGCCTATTAATTCTAGTGTCTGAATTCTTTGCAGGTCTGATTCTGGCTTTCCCCACCCCTACTGCCGGCCCCCTTGCTGGTTTTCTGGTTTGCATTTATGGTAACTTGATTTCTTACGTATTTCATGATTTATTTATTTTTATTTTTTATTTTATTACCATGTGGAACTAAGGAACGTTCTGTCTGGGAAGGCTGGCTTTGAGGTATCTTCCTCCAAAAAGGATTAGTATTTGCTTTTCCCAGGTGCCTGAGGCCACTACCAACCTGGAAATACTTCAGCTGTGTTCTCAGACTGGAAGGTTCAGACCACACAAGTAGTTTTAGCTGTAAGCCCCTATGTGGGACAGCTTATAGTTAGAAATTCTCAGGAGATTTCTTTTCTCTACCCTGCACCCAGGCTTAAGGCAGACAGTTTTCTTTGCTGTCCTTAGTTTGAAGGTGAGGCTTATTCCTAATTTACCCTTTAACTGAGCCCTTTGGGAATTCAAGCTTCTGGCATCACGTCTTCTGTCAGATTTCCCATCTTGGGTTAGCCCTAGGTTGTTTTCCTCATTTGCCTTCTTCACAAGACATTTTAAAAAACTCAAACTCAGGAGTCCCCTTGATTTGTTCAAAAGCCTCGGGGTATGAAAATCAGGATGTGTGCTCTGTTTTCTGTTCTGGGTTCCAGCTTGAACTGGCCTCTGATAATTCTTTCTTGCTCACTCTGTAATGTATTTTAAATAATGTTATTACATTTTATCTAATATTTTAATTTTATTTCTACAGTTAAGTGTCTAATTCATTATACTGTAGGAAATGGCAGTCCTATAATAAGCCTTTACAAGTTCAGTTTTGCTTTTGGCTTTTGCTTTATTTTTTTCTTCTTTAGCAGTTTGATTTTTTTCTATGTTTTTGTCGGAGTTTTATAGGTACAAGTTTAGTTTTAACAGTCTGTACTTAGCATAGACTGTATGAGTGATTTCTGGTGATTCTGCTGATAAAACCAACAAATATTTATGGAGTACCTATTCACACCAGAATGTTCTAGGAATGGGGATGCAGAAGTGAGCAAAATGGACCAAAATCGCTGCCACCCCACCTCCATCCAAGAAGCTTGAATTCTAGTGGGGAAGACCCTGCATATGTAGTACATTAGATGATGAAAATGCTAAGGAGACATAAGCAGGGAAGGGACTTTGCATCTTTGGAGAGAACCGGTCAGGAATACCTTACTGGGAGGATAACATTTTTAAAGAATAGGGGGTGTGAGCTGTGAGCACTCCACACAGAGAAAAGACCTACATGTCTTATAAATGTCTAAGAGAATATGGAATGAAAATTCTCTGTGCTTTCATATTTGTTCTATGTCACATGTATTGCTGTTTATTCTTTTTTCCCCTCTTAAATCTCAATTTTCTCTTTACCCAAATTTCTCTAAACCCAACTCTCAGTAATTTTGATTCTCTAGCTAGGAGAACTGACCCTTCTTTTAAATTTTTTTAAATTTTAGTGTATGTATTTAGATTGAAAGAGAGATAGCACACATGCGTGGGGAAAGGGCAGAGAGAGGAGGGGGAGGGGAGAGAATCCCAAGCAGGCTTTGAGCTGCCAGCGCAGAGCCCCATGCATGGCCTGAACCCACAAACCATGAGATCATGGCCTGAGTAGAGATCAAGAGCTGTATGCTCAACCGACTGAGCCACCCAGGCGCCCCTAGGAGAACTGACCCTTCTTAAAGGAGCTCTTTAACCTCTTTTGCGATGGTTTCTCCTGTGTCAGATGAGACCACTGCCTGTCTCTCAGGATTGATAGTGAAGTGAAGTAACGTTTGTAAAAGTGTCTGACATTTCATGAGTACTCAAGAAATATTAGTTCTTTCTCTTTTGTTTTTGCTTCCCTACACACACTCCTTTCAGCACTTGTTTTTAGTACTTATCAATTAACTTGCAATAAGATTCCCAGGCAGATCCATGGAGAAACTGTGTGGTAGACAGTTAACTGAAGACAAATGAGAAACGGTAGAAAACTTCATTTTAAAAAAAGAAACTTTCCAAAGTGGTTTTGAAAGGCTGAGTTTGGTGCTCAGGGTTCAGGAGATAAAGTCAAGCCCTATGCATTTCCCCCCTTGAAGTTTGTTCATCGTATGACAGATCAGCAGCCCAGGAAATCTCAATTCATATGTGTAATAGTCTGCAGAATCTCTAGTTACAGTGAGACTCAAGCAGAAGCATATCACGTTCGTATGTGGACACATAGATATTCACCTGTCTTCTCTTATCCTTTAACCTAATCTATCTATAATTCTGCGTATAATTTGGGGAGTTTTCTTGAGATTGTTGGCATGCCACTAAAAGTTGAGGCAGCGTAAGGGTGAAACTATAGGATTCATGAAGTTTTGGTTTGAAGGAAACTGAAATCTAAGTTTAGAAATAAAAGTAGAGGGGGCACCCGGGTGGCTTAGTTGGTTAAGCGTCTGACTTTGGCTCAGGTCATGATCTCACAGTTTGTGGGTTCAAGCCCCATGTCAGGCTCTGTGCTGATAGCTAGCTCAGAGCCTGGAGCCTGTCTTTGAATCTGTATCTCCCTCTCTCTGACCCTCCCCTGCTCATGCTGTCTCTCTCTCTCTCTCTCTCTCTCTCTCAAAAATAAATAAAGCATTAACAAAAGAAGAAATAAAAGTAGAGCCAAAAATCACTTCTTTAGTGAGATTTTCTTTGAGAGTCATGAGACCCCTTATTTGTGGCATTGGTTTTGATATGGACTCACGGTGTGAGGGTCTCAGTTATTTTTCCCTGTTGTAAGTGATATTTCCATTATTCCCTTGCCTTGTATGGCTATTGAGATTTCATAGGACCTGAGCACAGTCAAGGTAAGATAAGCACTAAAGGTCAACAGAGCACAACTATTTATATTGTCTGCTTTTGGTTTTTGGTCTGTCCCCAGCCCTACCATTGACCATGCCCTGCTGGACGTGCCCTTCCTTCGACTCCTTGAGGAGATGCCCTCTGACCTCCGAGAGCAGCTGGACCACACATTCTGAAGACACCAGTAGCCCTAGTTTTGATCCCTCATACACCGACCTGCAGCTTATCAATGCTGAGGAGCAGACGAGTAGCAGGGCTTCTCAGGCTGACTCGACTGGTAAGATGGAGCCCACATGGCTTTGCAGATCACTGTTGGTGACCTGTTGCCACTCCTAAAATCTCTGCAGCTAGCTTTGTTTGCAGAATGAGTTCAGATGGAGTAGTCCTACAGTCACAAGCTAGAATACAGAGTGGTTCAAAATTGCACTGGGAAAAAAACACGTACGCAGATAGGCAGAATGTTAATACTGGGAAACCCTTTGACAGTAGATCTTAATGTGTTATTTTCTACTATTTGGTACAAGTACTGTTCCTTGTCAGTTTATTTTCTCCTTGGATGACTGAACTACACATAATATGCACAAGGCTGAATCTTTCATCCAGCCACCCATGCATCTTTCCTTTTCAGCAAGAAGGAAGTAGATTTAAGCAGAGAAAAAGCAAATGTTATGTCAAGTGGAATGAGTCAGGACTCAGTCACTGTGTCCAGACTACATTTTGCAGTTACATTTTTTCTGTTGTGCTTGAATTGAGCTATACATCCGTCAGTCTGTAACATCTGTGGTCTCATTTATTAAATTTCTAATAGGTATAGAAGGATGTTGCCTGGCTTAGGTTTAGAATGGCATTGGATAGATGTAGTGTGTTCTTGGCGTTTTGTTTATTTGGCCCAAGGTATTATTTTCCTTTGAAAATAATAAAGTTACCGATAATTTCTCTGTGGATATATTTGCCAGGTGTGTCCAATAATAGCTTGCTTTTCTTTCTCAAAAACATTGTTTAGGAATTTGTCTCTGGATCGTTTTTCAAATTTGGGTAACATTTGTCCTTACACTCTGTGTTATTGGAGGATTCTACACATGGAGAGAGAGATTTCTTTCGGACTAAAGGGTTCAGACAGGATTTAGTTTGGTATTTGATACTTTTGCAAAGAATCCTAGTTTATCATAGTCCCTTTTCACGAGCCACAGTTCTTTATAGCATTTTGTTCTTACACACTCTCCATCCTGGTTAATCTCTACGGCTGGGGATCTCGGTCAGTGGCTGAACTGTGACAACCCCATCTCCACTGTGGGGAATGTTTCATGTTGGGAAGGCACTATCAGAAGCCGAGGCAGTTAGGAAAAGAGGCTGTACCCACACCCTCCTTCACCTCCTCGCCCTCAACCACCAGCCTTCCCATAGAGGACGCATAGAATACATTGGTCAGGAGCACTCAGACTCCGGGTTAGACTGCTCAGATCCTCATTCCTCCATTTACCAGCTTTGTGACCTTGGGCAAGATCCTTAATGTCTTTTTGATTTAGTTTCCTCACCTGGAAAATGGAGGTAATAGTAGTACTTACCTTACCAACTTGTTAACAGCTCTAAGTGAGACAGTTTACATACGGTAACTTATATGATCCCAGCCACAGAGGAAGTGATCAGCAAAGATGCGGTTTTTCCCTCTCCTGCTCCGGGGTTCTTACTGCTTCAGAGAGGTGGAGGAGGGCTCCTCATGTGAGAGAGTCAGGACCTCTGGGCTCAGGTTGGTTTTTGTCAGTGGCCTCTCTGCTTAGATGAAAATTGCTTTAATTCCTAGAGGTTCCAATGATGCAAATCAGAGTCCTAGTCTAACTGGACATTATTAATCTGTCTCCAAAGCTTATAATTATTTTCATTATTTTCTGAAGCCATACTAACAGTATTATAATTCCCACTAAGAAAACCTCTTCTCTCATTGTTTTGATCAGGGTCCTGGCAGGTGGCAGATGGTATCCTCAGAAAGGTTTTATTTGAAGAGGGTTTAATGGAACGACTGCTTACAGAAGCAGCAAGAGCTGGAATCATGGGAAGTGGGGCTGGCCGACAGGTGCTGTGGCAGTATGAAGGACAGAGCCACTGACAGAGATTTGGTGAAGTGGGGAGAATGGGGGAATAAATGGCCAGATCTTGCAATAGTGCTTCCCACTGGCGAATCGCAGTTGGAAGTCAAAGGGCACAGGACCCTGGTAGGGCAACCCACAGAGATCAGCTCCCAAGGCATAGAGCCATGGAGAAGGGTGGGAGGATGGATTTGGGGTGAGGGGGTGGGTGAAGCATATGGGGTATAGCCAACACACTTTAGTCTCCACCAAGAATTTTTTTTGCATATTGTTACTTTATATATATATTTTTTTACAAATAGTTTATTGTCAAGTTGGTTTCCTTATAACAACCGGTGTTCATCCCCACAAGTGCCCCCCTCCATGCCCATCTTTCCCCTCCCCCCCCATACCCATCAGTTTGTTCTCAGCATTCAAGAGTCTCTCATGGTTTGCCTCTCTCCCTCTCCCCCACTCTTTTCCCCCTTCTTCTCCCCCATGGTCCTCAGTTAAGTTCCTCCTAATCCTCCTATACGAGCAAACATATGGTATTTGTCCTTCTCTGCCTGACTTATTTCGCTCAGCATAACACCCTCAAGGTTCATCCATGTGGCTACACATGGCCAGATATCATTCTTTATCATTGCCATGTAGTATTCCATGGTATAGATAAACCACATCTTCTTGATCCATTCATCGGTTGATGGACACTTAGGCTCTTTCCATGTTTTAGCTATTGTTGAGAGCGCTGCTATGAACATTGGGGTACATGTGCTTCTATGATCAGTACTCCTGTATCTCTTGGGGTAAATTCCTAGCAGTGCTATTGCTGGGTCATAGGGGAGTTCTATTGTTAGTTTCCTGAGGAACCTCCCCACTGTTTTCCAGAGGGGCTGCACCAGTTTACATTCCCACCAACAGTGTAGGAGGGTGCCGGTTTCTCCACATTCTTGCCAGCATCTAGAGTCCTCTGATTTGCTCATTTTAGCCACTCTGACTGGTTTGAGGTGGTATCTCAGTGTGGTTTTGATTTGTTTTTCCCTGATGAGGAGGGATGCTGAGCATCGTTTCATGTGTCTGTTGGCCATCTGGATGTCCTCTTTGGAGAAGTGTCTGTTCATTTATTCTGCCCATTTCTTCACTGGGTTGTTTTTCGGGTGTGGATTTTGGTGAGTTCCTTATAGATTTTGGATATTAAGCCTTTATCTGTTATGTCATTTGCAACTATCTTTTCCCATTCTGTTGGTTGCCTGTTAGTTTTATAGATTGTTTCCTTTGCCGTGCAGACACTTTAATCTTGGTGAGGTCCCAATAGTTTATTTTTGCTCTTGATTCTTTTGCTTTTGGGGATGTGTCAAGTAAGAAATTGCTGCGGAGTCTCCACCAAGAATTCAATGGCCTGGAGTGAGTCCAGAGTCACTCTGGAGAAGCAAAGGCAAAACTAGGGCTGTAGAATGATGAGCGATGATCCTTGTTCTCTCCTTCAGCATGAGATCATTTCTGTAGTTACAGGAGGCTAGAGGTATGACTTTTTGGCAACCGTTCTTTTTTACAGAAGTAATAATAATCACAGCCAGCACACAGTGTGTGCTATGTGCCAGTACATGCTGTGTTATCATCTCTGGCCTTTACAACAGTTCTGTGATGCAGAAGGTATCTTTCTCCCTATTTTCTAGTTGATCCTGAGTCTGGGAGGTTAAGATGGTTGTCTGAGACAGTAGTACTAAGAACTAGATGTACCTGGATTTCAACCAAAGCTCCAAAGCCTTTTCCCATGGTTCCCAAACCTGGTGGTGCCCCCAGAACCATCATGTCTACCAGTTTGCTACGTTACCTTCCAGACCTTCTATGCAGATAGGGTAGAGGATGCATATGAATATATAAACATTTTGCCGTGGGTTTATTTTGAACATAAATAGAATCAAAAGGTTTTTAAATAAGATGTATAGTGGGTGGAGTCTGAGGAAAAAGTTCATCATGTGCCCTTAACAGATATGAGTGCTGATAGATAACTGGTACGTGCCCACAGTATGGTGTTATGTAAACATGTCTCTGGACACTGCACTTGGAAAAGAAATCCCCTCATTCTTTAGTAACCAGCCAAGGGTCCAGCTGGCCCAGGGGAATGCCCCCATCTGTGTAGGGTGGAGCCCCGTCCTTCCCACCTCACCCCCACCTATTCTTCCAGGCCCAAAAGTGACAAGTAGCATGCCTTTGGGCCCTGGAGAAATGAAAGGCAGGGTGATGAGTGGCCCAGGCTGTGTGGGCCATGTCTGGATGCAGCCCCAGATATAAGACCTCCTTGAGCCTCTTTCTGAACATCCTGATTTGTGTAGTCAGGTTGGACTTCTGGCTTTGAAAAGCCTTTAACTCTTCCTGGATAAGTAAATACAAGGTTTAAGAGAATAACCAAGTATTTCTAACCCTGTGACATTTATCTTTCTACTTCAGTAGTAGAGAATTTATCAATGCTTTCATTTGAGCTATAGAGAACCTCAGAGAAATCTGTACACAATGGAAATCCCCCAGTCAGGTGACTCCCTGCCCACCACCTGCTGCCAGGGCTGTGCCAATGGCCAACTCTAGGAAGGCTCTACTTTGAGGCTGGATCAGGATAAACTAAACCATTGTGAGGCCATGGAGCAGGTTCTCATCTGTCCGTGTCTCTGGGCACACCCTCTCTCCAGAGCTGCCATTCCCCATCTATGAACTGAGCCTGAGGGTCCGTACCAAGGCTGGGCAACAGGGTGTGTGTGAAGGTATTTCGTACAGCGCAAAGTGCAGTAGGAATTAACAAAATAAAGTCCTGATTTCGTCTGCCTCATTTCCCTTTGATATGGGAAATAAGGTTAATTACTGCCTACTGTTTTACTGCCCCGAAGAGGATGGTAAACCATGTACGTGGTGGGATGAGACCTGAGGAGGGTTATGTGGTCCTCAGAAGTGAGCTGTGGGTACAGCAGACAGATGTGGGACGTTCAGTGCGGGTGGTTTCTGTACCGGGGCCTTGAGGGCCCTTGGGAGGAACTGCCTTGGGGAGACTTTGGGTATTTATCTGCCCCCCTGCCCCATGCCTTTTAGCATTGTGGAGGGAGGTAGAGGGTGAAGAATTTGCAGCCTCCATCAGGAGCTCCCTCAGCCCAGCTGGCCTGGGCTTTTGCTGGCAGCCTGAGCCTGCAGTGTGAGCGTGCAGCCGGGGTAGAAACTCTGTGGT